GAAACTAACAGCTGTGGACTCTTTATTTCCATTATTTATTAAAACTGTTTTTATTGTGTGTGTTGAGGGATCACGTAAACTTCAGCTTTACTCCACGGATGGAACGATTTCCTGTCACCTTTTTTCTGTTAGTCGCCATTTTGACAATAGTGATGCTGTATCAGAGCACCAACAGTGAAGCATTCATCTTTCTCTACAATGACTCGACAATTTGGCTTCAGACTCAGATCAGTTTTTCTGTTTCTTGTTATCTGAAGGTTCAGGTCACCTGACGAGTTTCATAGTGCTGGCTTGTTTTCTGAACTTCTGAACTATGATGTTACACCCCTCAGTATGTCAAGGTTGTTTGACTGATTCACCAGCTGATCTTTAAATCGTTAAACTATCACACAACTTTGCTCGTCTCCTCTGATTAGTCCAATTAAAAGAAAACACTGACAGGAAGTCACCTAAACAGAAACAGCAAATGTACACTTTGACCTGACCGAAACACAGACGGAACACCCGCAGTATTGCTTGCTTACCTTCAATGGCAAACGGTTTCCCGACTGTCGCCAGTTTGCAGTCGGCATCGATGGAGACTTCGTAATCCAACAGAGCTTTGTCCATGATGAAGGCATCGAGCTGAGGAGGATCTGTCCTTCAACACAGAGCCACACTGTTACTACGGAAAACTCCAAAACCACACACACAGACAATGATGCACGTCATGTCTTCCTGTTTTCTTCTGACGTGTTTCCAGTCCGAGCCTCTACTGTGCTGGGATGTTCAGTTTTAATTATGATCGGCCTATCTTCATCAATCACCTACATACCACAGTATCAGTAATTAAATCGTATCTTGACCCAGCGGTCTTAGCTACTTATAAGCCGATCTTTAACCTTCCTTTCAGTAGTTGTCAAACAGCTTAAAGATCATTTGCAGAGGAATGGCTTGGTTAAAGAGTTTCAGTCAGGTTTCAGAGACCATCACAGCACAGAAACAGCTTTAGTGAAGGTTACAAATGAGCTTCTTATGGCCTCTGACAGTGGACTCATCTCTGTGGTTGTCCTGCTAGACCTCAGTGCAGCGTTCGATACTGTTGACCATAATATCCTATTAGAACATTAGAGCAGAGGTTCCCAAAGTGGGGGGCGCCATTGCAGGAGGAAAAAAAAGAAAGAAAAAGAACGCTTGGACACTGTTAGCATTTTGGACAGGTTTTTGATGGGGCTCCCACACAAACGCAAAGCAGAAGATGAAACATTGCCAAATATGTTTCCAAACCAACTTCCTTCCAAGCCAAAGACTAGAAAATATGATGAAGCACATCTTGCCTTTGGCTTCACCTGCATAAGTGCCAAAGTAGGTCTCCCCGACAGAATTTGTTTCCCCTGCGTTGGGAGCACGCGCTGGCTTGTCCAAATCCCGGACAAACAGTATCCCACATTCCTGATTTTCAGTTCACAAACACTTTTTATAATGACTAACTACTCCTGATGTTTTGGAGATGTTAGCTCTTTATACAGTAGTCTTTATTAAAAGACATAAAGACCTGGATGACCTTTAATTTTCTGCTTCTTAATTCAGATAAAACTGAAGCTATTGTACTCAGCCCTGAAAATCTTAGAAATATGGTATCTAACCAGATGCTTAGTCTGGCCTCCAGTAACACTGCGAGGAACCTTGGAGTCATTTTTGACCAGGATATGTCCTTCAATCCCCATATGATGGGGATTCGCACGATGCACTGAGTGTTTCTTCTTCGCTCACTTTCATCACTCTCAGTTCATACAACTCTCTGCATTACACCTCTATGCTTTTTGTCTCCCCTTGCTCTCTTCCCTCTCCTCTCAACCCCTCCCTGATTCTGTCAGAGGTTTCTTCCAGTTAAAAGGGAGTTGTTTGTGTTTGGCCATAAATAAAATTAGAAAAACTGAACTGAGTCTGGTTTCTCTGTTAGAACCAAGAGAATCAGAGCATAACCTGCAGCTGAATGCTGCTCTCTTACTTGAGGGTGGCAACTCCTTCAGGTGTGGTCGGCTCGTTGAAGCGTCTCATGTATTCATGCATTTCTGGAAAACTCTTCTTCATGTAATCCTCCGCACTGCTTTCCCTCACTGTCCCAAAACGAAAACCCTGTGACGGATGATG